CACTCCAGCATCAGTATACATAATCTCCTTACATTTCTTAAAGAGCTGACAAGGAGAATTTGTTCAAAAATAAAAAGCTTTTTTCAGAGCTGGTGATCATTTTGTTTTTTTCTTGTGACCATTAATGTTGGATTCAGGCGCGATTTTGTAGGGAGAGATAAGGAAGGAAAAATCAGCGGGAAGCTCAGTATTTGCCGCAATAAATCCTCATAAGCCACGTCTCGCACAAATCGTGGACGTCTGGAATTGATCATAAATGAAAGTTGCAGTGATTCGTCGCTCTGTTCTTGGAAATTGACACAAACAACTCCACAATCATGGCCACGATTTAGAGTTTCGCAAGCCGTTGCGCAAAGAAATCGATTAAAAACTTTCTCAAAAGAACGATCGAACTGTCGAAGATCACGGAACGATTTTCGAAGAACCCCATACAATTCTAAAATATAGTCGTTGTCTTAAAGACAATCCATTGCTTTCGCCATTGTTTTCTGTGAGGAAATCTTGCCAAGACTATACCGTTTATGAACAAAACTTAACGTAAAACCTAGCTTAACTAGAGAACCAAGCGCAGCTCAAGGCGTAGACAAACGACGAAGAAAATTGTTCATTCGATTGATTTGGTGGCAAAGAAAATAACACAAAGACGCAAACGAACAAAGGAAATAACTTATATGAAGTCACGGCAGTCAAGATTGTTCGGTCATGACTATTGTGAAACAAATGTTATTCACTTACCGATTTCTCGGTCGTGAAGCCTCGGGTACTCAAGATAGACTTTGCCATAATGCCGAAGTTTTCCCTTCACTGAACCATAAGTCTGATAAATATCGAGTTAAAGGAATCAGCAACGGAATCATGGTGCCAAAAAAATATTTCAGTTTGAGTTTTCTGTTTAATGAGACAATTTTTTTTAATGATTTGGAAAAAAATCACTGACCGTTTCATGAAATTTCTCTGTCGCTCAGATCACAGTAAGTATGCTCAAATCACACTTCAGGCTCCGCAGAATTCATTAAAATAAAGTGAATCAGTCAGAGTGATTGCGCGCACGGTTCCTATCGCATATATACAACCCAGCTGCACTAATCAAAATCACTATTGTGAAATTTCCGAGTGCCTTATGTGAAAATCTTAGGAATTCTGGGCTTTGTCTTCAATTATACGCTTATTCCTTGAAGACTGAAATAGAATTGAGTCGAGCACGACCGCTTTGCGTGGTCAGATATCTTATTATTTCAACTATAAAAGTGAGACGAGATTAAATGGTGGGATTTGGATGATTATAAGTATGAATAACATGATTCTAGGGAGAAATCAGACTAAGGGCTATAAAAGTAAGACATTAGTACGTGAGAGGACCGAGGAAGTAGTGTATTCTATTCTTTCGGTCCGCAATAATAATCCGTTTCTGTTCCCACAAAAGTACATGACACGAAAGAATAAAGGTTGCAAAATGAAATACTTCCTCAATGCATAACTAGTTATGGTCTAGCTATGTTTTAAGTTCTGAGGTTCGGTCACCTTCATCTTAATCGATCTTAATTGGGCAAAAACGTTTTTGAATGCTGATTGTCCAGCACAACACGAAAACTAAAAACAATCTATATCTATCGTTCAGGATATATTTTCAATAGCAGAGCAGCGGAGAAGAAGATTCAGAAACGGAATCAACATTTCCAAAAAAAAAAAATTTCAGTATGAATTTTCAGCTTAATGAGACAAATCTTTTCATGATTGCGAAAAAAATCACCGAGCAGTATTGTCACGTAGAAACCAGGATCGTCCTTTAGCTGTCAGTTTTCAATCACTACTTGACGTCAATTATTACCATCCGATTCATCGCATATCTTTTATAAGTATGTTTGCTTCATAAGCTATCATTTTTAATTTAAAGGAAACACGAATTTCAAATTATTGTTGTGAGGAAAGTAATTGTAAATGTATTGCAATGGTACAAGTGTCATGGATTTTCATTTATTGATTTTCAGTTTCAATTTCCAGATGTTGGTTGTATCAATAAATACAGCACTCGCTGCAAAGAGACCTTGCTATTTTCGCTTCGGATGAAATCCTTCTTATGAGTGTTAAATATTTAAAATAAGGAAGAAAAAAATAAAACCTTTCCACGCTAGTATTGAAAAATAATAATTTTGTTTTATAATAATTTTGAAGTAAATACGTGCTGTTTGTCATCACTTGGACGGGTCTCGCGCATTATGACTGAAAGTTGGGCCTGGGTTGCACGTGATAAAGGGCTTCTCGATTGGGTGTAATAGAATTAAAACCTAAGTTATCGCATCAACCAAGCAGATCAAGCGAAAATATCATAAGGAGCAAATGAGGAGGCAGAGCGAAGTGAGCAAACCGCGTAAAGCGAGGGAAAACACGGTAACTAAGGTAACTAACTAACTAACGGTCTTAGGTAACTAACTAACTAACGGTCTTAGTTTTGCGTCTGATTGGTTAAGAGAGTGGCGCAAATTTCTAAAGCATTCACAGAGCGAACTAAAGCAAAACCACGTAATCCGAGATTACTTTTGACACCCAATTGAAAATTATTTAAATCTTTCTTTTCAAAAACCATACCAGATTTAGAGAACATAAATATACTCAACCGATCTCATTTATTACAGAATAGCACTGTTAGTGATTAGCTATTGGTGGTAAACTTCTGACCCCGACCAAGTACGAAAAAAACGTTCAGCCGCTGGCAATGCAAGAACGCTTTCAGATTAACTTTCTTTTTCAAAATAAGTACTAGCTTGTAAAACACCTTGCAATCGATATTCCGCATAGTACAAAAAAAAGTGCATTGTTAACTATAAGCTGTTAGTAATACGTGAATTGTTTTGGCCTATATGCATACATGCATCTCTCGATATATTAGAAGAACCCTCCACACAGCGCTAAAGTATGCTCGTATGTTTGCCCACAGTTATCTTCTATATCGGAAAACTGTAAGTTCGTTTTTAGGAACAGAGCTAAAGTTAACAAGAAAAAAAAAAAACAAAACAAATAGTATTCTCATAGAAGTACGCACCTTCAGAACTCAGAAACTGCTGATAAACACAATATCAAACCTGAGACACAATGCATTAACTGCGAAGAAATATTTGCAAATTATTCCCTTGGCAGACCATCTCAACTGAACAAAATCCACACAGTAGCATCAGGTAATCGTTTCCTTCCTCTTCTCATCAAAAAATGGCGCTCTTAATTATAATTGAAAGAATGTCTCGTTTGTAATATTTTCAACGTTTTCATTTCGCGTGGAAAGAAATTTGACGTGAAATCCTTTTACTTTGGCAAATATTTTTCACGTTTCCATATTGTACACTGTTAGTCGGTGTCGTTAATGTGTGTTACTATCATTTCCGCTTCGGAGACTGTTTCCATGGTCGGAAACATAATGTCAATTTTGCTTTTAAGAGGCGAATGGGCTTACATGGACTTCGGACCTAAATGTTTTTCGATATGCAAGATATTCAAGCCAAAGGAGACTGTGACAACGAAGGGCGCGTCGTAATCAAGATCCGAACCAGCCCTATACGCTTTCAAAAGACACGTAACCGTCTGCTTTCCTTAATCCGCGAGACGAGATCGAACGACAGTACAACAACAACAAAAGAAAACTACCAGACCAGTAGTCCGAGAAAGTTTAGGCTTTGAAGTTTTCATGACATTTCTCGGCTTTGGTTATCTGCGGACAGTTAATCATAGTCTACGAGCAGCCCCTCCTTTCCGACGAAGTCTGTCAAAACATAATGAAAAGGTAAATGATGTTAGCGCGCCGCTTGGAACTCTGGGAATGAGGCGCGCTAACATCAATGTTTCTTTCACTAATTTTTTTTCACTCGCGCGACAGACTTCGTCTTAAAGGAAGGAATGACTTTTCGTAGTCTAAGTTTAACATTTAATTTCCTTTTCTTTTGCATACTTTACAACACAAAAAAACTACAACTAAAAACGAACTTATTAACATCAAACCAATTTGTTAGTTTGTTTTATTCGTTTCAAACGTGAACATTATTTCAATTGCAGTACACAATTGTTTCCCCGTGCTTCAGATAACTTCAATAAATAACATTTAATTTAATTATCAGCCTTAATTTGCAATCAAGATATCCATTGCCCAAATCTGATCCTATCCTATGACGTCAAATTCCAAAAGTCAAAGGCAAACGTTCAAGAAACCTGACGCCAACTTTTGTACATTTTGTACAAGACTCATCCTTTACATCCAGATATGCACATACCATTAGAAAATTTTACATAGCATTAAATCTTGAAATTTAAATTTAATTATTGTTTTGCAAAAGTATGAACTTAAGCGGTTCAGTTTTTAAGTCCAACAAGTATTAAAGATCAACTAGTTGCCTAAGGAAAATTGAAGCTCTTAACCTTTTAACTCCCAGAAGTGATAAGTGATTAACATATAAATATATATATGTATATATTATGTTACTAAAAACCCTAACTTTTTGAATACATCACAGTCAGAGATGGAAAGACTCTTATATAATATATAATATAATATAATATAATATACCATCTTTAGTTAAACTGGGTTTAACTGAATGAAAATCAGAAACAAAGTACCAAAATAGAATTTTCCATCATTTTCATGTACCAGCAGTCTTAAACTCGTATTTTCAACGTGCTGAATTTGAAGTTGACCAACAATGGTTAAAACAGCTTCTTTAAAGAGAACGATTTCCAACCATATTAACAAAACAGTTGTAAAACACGTAAACTTACATATATGCTTTGTTGTGATTGGGATATAGGTCTACATTAGATACCACTTCCTTTTTTAAGCATCAACGAAAACAATAACTTCCTGACATTGTTGTGCTCTCTTACTATAATAAACTGTGAAGTGACCCCATTCTGATGCCAAATGGCACCATTTATGAAAATTATTACTGTTTTTTTTTAACGCCAAAACTGAATACACCTTTTGGAAGAGAAAATTGGAAGTGAAGTTAATTCCACCAAAATTGAATGGATCCTTCAAATGTATGTGCATGTCTTGTTGAGAACAATAACTTTGAAATTTGTTCCAGTGTAATCATGGTTTGAAAAGTTATTAAGGAATTCAGCCGTCAATTCATATCCAAAAACCTAACACTTACACCATAAAAGTTGCACAGAGATTACTACACATCTGTTTTGTAAACTTCTGTATTGTTCTGTGGCAAGAGATGGACTGGCACAGAGATTACCAGTAGTGCCTGGGACCCACCGTCCACGTTGGACAATCAGTTGGGACATGTGCTTTTTCAGTGAATAGGACACTTACATGTAACCTCTCACAATGTGTCTATCCAACACAAAATCATAAATGGGTAGAGGCAAGCTGTTAGCAAAGCCTTTATGCACACACACAAAAAACAGTGATAAGTTCCTTCTGGACCAGGCTTCTGACTCCTAAACTTACCTAATATTCACAGGATGGTATGCAAAAGTTACTTTGTTTTAAATACATTGTTTACAAGAGTACTTACATCTAAAAAATTAGTGTAACCTTAAATTTCTAGAATCTAGAATGATTGGTAGGTAATGGATTAAAAAAAAAACAAACAAACAAACAAATATTATAAAACAACTGGAACATCAGCCATTAGAGAATTTATCATTAATCTAGAAAAAATACTTTCTGTTTGTTACCTGCTAAAAGTTTCATCACTTTAATTCCATAGCATTGGTTTTGATCCATGGAATAGCAGACTAGAAGTTGATCATTCTGCTATTAAACAAAACACCTTAAATTTACCTCCTCCTAGAGTATGAATTCGCATTACCCAAAAATCACTTGGGTCCTTTATTGTGCATCATCTCTTTTGCATCAACTGGAAACACAGTGCATGATCCCTTGTATCCCCCCATCCTCCATTAGGACTAAATTTAGAAGCAAGATTGTGGTCGCCTTCCTGTATGTTCACGGAGGGTGGAAATAGGCTGTTTGTGTTCTTCTCTATGATGGTTTGGAACTTCTGCACAGTAGCGTCAATCTTGCAATCAGTTTTCTTGTGATGAAGACCACTGTAATGACAAAGAGTAATTTATATTATCACAATATTCACATCATAAAAATGGAAGGTCCTCCTCATTAGCACTCAAGACAATAACAAACAGTAAATTATGTGATCATAATAATCACATCATAAAAATGGAGGGCCCTCCTAAATTTAGCACTCAAGACAATAACAAACAGTAACTTATGTTATCATAATAATCACATTATAAAAAAAAGCCCTCCTTATTAGCCCTCAAGACGTGCATTTCTCTGCATCCAGGAATGTTTGAGACGAGTCAGAGAGAGATTTACTGGGGGTCTAACACTTCATTATCAGTGAAAAGCTTGTGTCAAAGTGCTTAGAATGAGGGCTTGCTCTTAGGTTAAAAAAATCAACAACAAACAACAAAGAAGAAAGAGTAACACAGATAACAATCACAGCCAGGATAAAATGCAGTTTCATACGTAAGGTACGTACATACACTTCCATACGTATGATGTAGCCATTAAGTATACTGATTGAATATCCTAAGATCAACTTTACCATTCTCCCAGGTGAAAAACTCTTGGGCCCTTGAGGATGAGTGACTTGAATGGCTGTGGCAAGCAGGAAACACTTATCTTCATCAAAGACCAATCCCAATTGTACTCATCATAGCTCTTGCAAAAAACCTATAAAAATTGAGTGACTTCTTGATCAGGTCATGCAAATTGACATCCTCACAAAGGCAATTGCAGATTAAAAAAATTGGATTTATTTTGCGTACTGTTGCTGCAGTAGTAATTGTAAAAAAAAGTAGCATGCTAGAATATAGAATAGTACTATGAAGTTTGGTGAAAATTACCATGATATCAAAAGGCTCTTAACAACTAAAATAAATTAAAAATTATGTGTATACATGATTATTTCCACTCACATCACTACATTTTTTTATTTTATTCCATGTCACTCTATCAAATGCCATCCCCATGTTGTGTTCGTGGGATCTCCAAACTGAAAGGGCTGCCTGGATGTGGTAAAATTGTTTAAGATTTAACATTTAGCTCCTACGACACACCTCAAAGACTTAACAAGATTATTTAACACTTTTACTCCCAGAGGTGATTAACATGTAACTTCTCCCTATAATATCCATACATTATCCAGCAAGTAGGTGATGAGAATACTCAATTCCAAATTCTCATGATAAATTTACAAGAAAATGTGCAGAAGCTAGAGGGGAGAATTAACAATCAGATCTTGGGAGTTAAAGGTTAATGTCATCTCAATGCATCTACTATTTTGTCCCATATTGTTAGTTGGCCAGTGATTTTACAGTGTGATAAAAAGTACATGAATGAACATCCAGTTTGTCTGTGCACAGTGAATACCAAAAGTGAAAGCACCTTACCACATCTTTAGCACCATTCAGCTCATAATTATCCACAGCTCTGTATGTGCCCAAGGTTATCAAATCACAGTCTTCCTTACAACCACTGTCAATCAAGTAATGCACAAACATTTGAGAAATGTTGACAGACAACCTTATTGGCAGGTTTAACATTATAAGAATAATGAAAGAATTACACCAGTACTTATGATATGTCATTTAGTGAGCTTGAAGTGCCACTCTGGAAGACATGTAACTGCTAACACCCCTATCCTACATTTTGCCTGACAAATGCAAATCATAGCTGTCACAAAACACCATTATGTATCTTTGAATGCAGTTTGCTTAATTTACATGTTCAGTCATGAAGATGGCCACTAGTGTTATCCAGCACTTGGGGCAATTGATTGTCTTAACCCTTTAACTCCCATAAGTGACCAAGACAGAATTTCTCCTTACAATATCAATAAAATATCAAACAGATAAGTGATGAGAATAAAGAAAAATATCAATTTAGGGATGATAATATATTCAGATATTCTCTGAACTAACATTATAAGAATCATACGATTGAAAGTCAGGAGAATTACAGAGTTGATCTGGGAGTTAAGGGGTTAAATTTGTATTCGAATAGGCTCCTTGTAGTATTTTCCTTTCCTCTGATTGGCTGTAGTATTTTCCTTTTCTCTGATTGGCTGTTGTGACTACTTTTGTTTGGTGTAACAAGGCTAATGCTCTCTATGCTAACTAGAAATTTATATTACGTGTTACTAACAATATGATTTACAAACTAGACCTAAACATTAGTAGCAAATGCATTTGCTATGACGAAGGGCTGACCCTCAAAAAGTCATCTTTGAAACTCTTTACAGTGGCCAAATTATGTATATCAACTCAGTTAATAATAACAAATTACCTAAATAGAACTAACCTCATTTTGCTGTTGTACAATAATTTTAACATGTGGTAGAAGTCTGGACTAACATAGTAATCTTCTTCGAGGAATAAAACTGGACCTGCATAGTCTTTTGTAACATTCAGCATGTCAAATACTGTGTTTGCCTTTAGAAAAATTCACAATCCAGGTTAACAAATAAATCCAAGAGTAATTGAAAAGGAAGTGAAGATGATCTTAAAAACTGTGAATATGTGCAGTACTTAGCAAATGCCAAGACTACTAGTAACAGTAATGGAACATTGTAGGTGCATTATCCAAAGACTAAAGCTTAAGATGAATAATGTGTAAGCAAACAAAGGTAGATGTTTTGTTTGGTAAATTTGATATTGATGAAGACTTTATTGTTATTAACCACATGCTTTTTCTTGCAAAGTTCTATATCTAACTCTATAATACAAAACCATCTTTAGGAATTTTTAAAGCTAAATTAAAAGCCACTCTTATTAACATGGAATTTTTGATTGCCAAAAGAAATGGCACACTGGTAAAACATTACAAACATTGGGAAGCTTTTATTCATATAAAGTAACTCCCCTTTCGACCATTCTACCATAAGTGTAGTTAAATAATAATGAGCCATGCAACAAGAATTCATAGGCTATTTTTGCACTTTGTGCAATAAGCTGGTTTTCTCAACTGTTCTTCTTCCCTGTTCTCTGCAGTATTACATACTGTAGAGTAATTGCAATGCTAGCATTGTAAGTGATGTTTAATCTTGTAAGTAATGACGCTTTTAGTACATTATGTAGCGTTAGTAGTGTAGGTAAAGTTAGTGCTGTAAGCATTGTAACAGTTACTATTGCAAGTAGTATTAGTTTTTGAAAGTAAAGTTTGTTTTTGTTAAGTAATGTAAGATTGTAAGAAATGTCACTAATGTTAGTATTATAAGTAATGTGTATATTTAAATAAAAATTTTTAAACAAGTGAACAAAGAACAGTTGAACAGTGTCTTCCCAAGTTGACCCTACCGATTGCACATTCAGAAAAGGAAACAAAACCATCTTTTTCACATACAAGGTCTATATGTCACCATTGTGAAACTTGCCTATATGGTACTATCAGCATTTTTCTTTCAGCATGTCATAGCTGATTGTTTGAAAGAAGGAGTGTACTCTACTTTTACTGAAATGACACCACTAAGAGGATCAAGAATTTTGTAATAACAAAACTTATCTCCTGAACAGCAATTTATGCCCCTTGAAAATGTATCCATTCTTTCAAGCAACTGGAGCAAGGTAAAAGGAGGGTAAATCTGCGATATAGTGAACTTACCTTCCACCACCAGTGATGTTTTATCATAGTAAATGGTGCTTGTCTGTAGTGACCATACATGTCTGGAGTCTCTGCATTGATACAGCCCATTTCTTTAGCTCTAAAAGTGAAAATACACTTTTAATCCTTTACACTCTAGCATCATTATACATATTCTCTATACTGTTCTCTATACATTTTCTAAGGTGCTGACAAGGAGAATTTGATCAGCAATGTAGAGCTTCTTTAGTTGGTGATCATTTCATTTATTCTCGTGACCTTCATGTTTGATTCAGGGGTGGTATTGTGAGGAGAAATAAGATGCTAGTCAGTCTCTTAGAGGTTGAAGGGTTAATTAGAATAAATATCTTTCAGACTGAATAGCTCATTTGTATACAGTCACGTGTGCATTTTTTTATCACATGCAGGTGCAATCTGTGTTATTTGGTGTGCAGTATGGAAATTGCATGCATGTCAAGCATGTGTGATGCTGTAGTTCAAGAGAGCTTTACCAGCATTACAGTGAATGTAACAAGTCCCATGTCAAGCGAAAGAGTTGTCCATGTTTGAGGTATCTGAAAAGTTGAAGATACCAAAAATGAATTTGATGTACTCACTTCTCACGGCTGATATCTCTTGGGCAGTCCTTAGGATCAGTTCCAGGAAACTCATTTGGATACAGCTGATATGAGAATGGGAAAAAGATTTGCATGACCTGCAAAAAATAAAAGAAATAAATTAAGATAAAAAATACATCTAAACTATATGGAGTAATTTTTTAGGAATCTAGATTCATAACAAGAAGCAATGCTTGACTGTGTGGTAATATCATCTAGGTATCGGAATAAATCATACTTGTTGTTGTTTTTAGTTTTACTTCTTATGACTAATGTACTGCGTAACTTTGCTCTTTTTGTTTAAATAACAGTTACTGTCATCAACAGAAACCCCTCTCTGAACAACCCTTGGTCAGACAAACTCACAAAACATTGGAACCTGGCAGTGTTTTTTGGTAAACTGCCAGCCATAAAGGAAACAAGGTTGATTTCATTACCTACATCTAGATGCGTTAACCCTTTCACTCTCAGGATCTCCTCTGAGTTATTCTTGTTACTGCCTGCCATACAATTCTCATGATTTTAGTTTGGAGAATTTGGTATTGGATCTACTCATAATCCCCTAACTGACATTTTCTCTATTATCATCACTTGTCTGCTTGATGTTGTAGTTATATTGTAAGGAGAAATTCTTCCTTAGTCATTCAGGTGAGTTAAAGGGTTAAACAACAGCAAAAGCAAAAATATCAACCCTAGATTGTATCATGTTTGCACTTAGTCAAAACAAACATGCAAAAAATGACAGGTTGTGCCATTTGACATGTACCTGAAACAAGCTAAGTTCACTAACATTTCTTAAATTTGCTGACTCAAATTTTAAGACATAATTGACTCATCTAAGTCTCGTGAGGGCTGTCCAAGATAATCATTCAGCAATTAATTTCATGTATATTTTCATAATGATTTTAAAAAAATTATCAATAATTGCGTGACAACTTACTCTTAAAAGCCCCCCGAGGTTCATAAACCTTTCTGAACAGTGAGGAGAGCGTCTACTGAGTATATTGTAGGTAATAATTACGGTAATAATCTCTTGTAATCGCAATGTATACTCTGGTTTTCGGGTATATGTTTCCAGCTGCTTTTGTTTTGGCAAACAGTAATCAACACAAATTTACGCGAGGCGTCACTAAGTTGATACATGAATAATTGATTCTTTGAGGAAAATTTACGTTAAGAAGGATTCCGATTTTTTCCATGTTTTGCTTTCCGTAATTAGACTCCCCTTGGAATAACACTCCAAATTGATCGCTGCGGTGTTAGAATCACCTTAAAGCTACGAAAAAGACCACATTTTAAAAAGGAAAAACCCACTACAATAAATTACCACGAGTAAGAGGTATTGCATTAAGGACACTTCAGCGGAAGTCGTTTTTAAAGTTTTAAAGCGATATCATGGGACAAAATGAAGGAAGATTTTCAGCCATCTACCGGTATTATTAGGAGCATGTCATAAGCTTAACTTCATCCTTACAATAAAAAATCGTAAACATAGTGCGAAACTCAACATTTGCTTCGGCAAAGCTCTCACTTTTGGTAATCAATTCCCAGCAGTTTTATCACCTAATTGAATTAAAATGAGAACCAACGTTGACTAAGGATGAAGTTAATTGAAAGAAGGCACTTACTCTACAAAAGTCGATGGATTCCACCAGTTTGTTCATTTCCTCGGAGTGATAGTCGTGACTGACAATAAGCAAAGCATCTTCGATTCCTCTCGAGCGCCTCATAGAATTCAGTAAATGAGAAAAATAATCACTTCTATCGTGCACTTGAATAATGATCACAATTGAACTTGGAGACAAAGTCGTACCGAATTTGTCGCCATTTCTGATGTACTGTTCGTCATTCATATTCTTTACGAAATGTCTAAGTTTCTGAATCTCAGGTTCAACGCTTTTGTTTAGAGAAATTTTTATTGTTGGTCGCTTTGTAGTAACACGTAAGCTCTCTTGCGGGACATTTATGTTTATATTTTCATTCCTTGCTTCAGTTTTGATAGCGTTTTCGATTGATGTTGTCACAAGCGCATTGATCTGCGGCCGATTTAGATAAAAACCATTATTATGAGGAGGAGGGTCGATATTGCCAGACGGGTCGAAGGCAATGATCTCGTGTAGCGTCAGCACCGCAATAACTGCTCCAATTCCCACCATAACCAAAATAAACAGTTTTGTACTAAAGAGACGTATAGTAGTCCCTCTATATTTGAAAATCATGGCTTCAGCGTTCAAAGAGGAAAATACCATACTGACTCCTTGCTACAGCAAGGGATGACTTTGTAAGATATATTCAGTTGAACCCATAATGGCGGACGCGAAGCCGGCGTTCCTAATAATGAGGGCTAAGACATGCATGTTAGTCCCTTTAAAATGGTCCTTCTTGCTACCAAACTCTATCTTGAATCCTTGGTAGCATATGTTTTCCTACAGGAACGACTTCCAAGGTCATCTAAACATTTTTCGGGGAGTGATTTCCACTGTAACTAGCAACCATTACCGCAGATACAGCTTCCGTTTCCCGTGTTTGCGCGCGTGTAATTTATTGCTGAGCGCCTTACCTGTTTCCACTCTCACTCGGTCTGCCCATGCTGCGAGAAACAAAATGGCAGCTTGTGATGCAGTTTGTGTTACTATAAAATGGAGTGGAAAAGAATATTCTATCGACAAATTATCGCCGACAGACACGGTCGGATATCTAAAAGAGGTGATTAAGGAAAAAACCGGAGTTTTACCCGAAAGACAGAAACTGTTAGGTTTGAAATATAAAGGTAAAAAAAAAAAGTTAGTCGCTATTAATATTTGGTAGAGCTGCAGATTGAGAGGGAAGCGTGTGTAAATTATAAAATTAAATGTGGTTAAATTTTAAGTTATGATGGATAGGAAAGTTTCTTAATGAGGTGAGTTCCTCAAATGAGATACAGCTTTCACACATACGCCGTAAATCTTGAAATTACCACTATCTCTTTCCAAGGCGCCTTTTTCAAATTGTTTTGTCACCAAACAACAGTTTTCTGGTGTATTTTTCATTTCAGGGAAAATTCCTGATGATGATGTGCGCCTGAGCGCCTTAAATTTGAAGTCTAACACAAAGATTATGATGATGGGAACAAGAGAAGAAAAATTAGTACGGCTAGTTAATTTTTTATAAATATGAAATATTAGTCCTGGGTAACTTGCTCTACCTACGTGAATAGTATGTTATGATGACCTGAATTTTCAGCAAATTGAAAAAAAAAGAAGATATCGTAGCTGTGTCAATTTTTGAAAACTTTAGTCTGTGCGCCGTGTTCTATGGTGATGACAGAAAACCTAACACTAAAAAGGTTTTTTTTTTTCAAACATGTTGCTTGCATTTTCCTCACAGGCTGAAGTGATTTCTCCTTCTGAAGAGTTATTGAACAATCAAGTGATAAATGACTTTGACATTGAGGAAGAAGAGATCCAAATAGAAAACAGGTACGTAAACCTTTTTAATGACATTGAATCAAAGTGCTCCATGAGTCATTACTTTTAAGATCAAGATTTGTATCCTCATCCCCACACTTTTTGCCATATCTTTTTTTCCCGTCAAAAAAATGTATTTTTCACTTCTCCAATTTCTCCAAAGGAATAATTTGTACACCAAAATTTTGGAATGAAAAATGTAGGCCACGGTGCTCATTTGAGAGGTAAAGACCACTGTACTTGTTTACCTTGCCTATCAATTGAAAAACAATACCATGTTCTTGGTATGCATGCATGTTTATTGGCTGAACACAGTTTGCACAGTGCAATACTGAGTAATTGCCTTAAAGAGGCTCTGGGGAATAAACCACACAAACTCTTTCACTCCTCAGAGCTTCATATGGCAGTCCATGGTGTATCACTAAATTTTTAAAGATAAAAATTGGTGGAATTTATAATCTGTAAGTTTGTTGTAAAAATATAGATTAAAGAACAATTTTTGGGTTTTAATATTATTCTAGGTAACCAACCATGTTATATCTTTGCAGAGATGAGAATCTTGCCAAAATAGATAAAAGAATATCAGACTATAAAGTGGAAATACGTAATCCACCTAGAGCTGGAAAGAAGTTACTGGTACTTGATGTTGATTACACAATATTTGGTGTGTATATCAGTTTTAACTTCTTTATCAGTTTAAACAAGAGCTACACATTCCATCAATGGAAGTTATCATCCGTGATGATTCAGTTAAATAATCAGTTTGCAGATTTTAAAAATGATACTTATTGTATCTCTAAGTTAGTGCATGCACTATGGAAATCATTGGTCAATCAAAATTTTGTTTGTTTGAATTAAAATCTTCTCCCTCTATTTGAACTCAGAAATATAATAGATATCTTACTAACCTCATTTTTCTGCACTGATTGATGGCCTGCATGCTTTGCATGTAGGCCATACAGTATAACTGTACATGTAAATCCAACAGGAAAAAACTGCGACTTACAGTAGGGACCTCAAACTCTATTACATTGATCTAGAGATTATGTAACTACTTAATTTCAGATCACAGATCAGTTGCAGAGACTGGTGTGGAACTTATGAGACCATATCTTCATGATTTTCTCACTGCTGCCTATGAGCATTATGACATTGCTATATGGTGTAAGTGACTGTATTAAACAGTTATTGACTGAAGTAAATATTGATGAATACTCCCCTAGACAAAGTCAAGGGGAGTTTTCAGCAATATTAACTTGGCTTGAGGTGAAAAATTGTTTTAGTATAATAATTGAATAGTAGGTGCTTTCAAATTGTTGTAAATATTTATTTTGATGTTGAAACCATTCTGTTTTTAATAGGTTGTTTGATTACTCATATCGAGATAAGCAGTCAGTGTCCATTTTTAGAAATTAATAGGTTTATTTAATTAAATCAGCAAAACCTTCAGATCTTTCTTTTGAAAAGCGTCAGGCCAAACTTACTAGCATGAATTTTCTCCTGTTGGGTTTATCACTTCCTTGGTAACATTGACAAAATGCAGTGCAGCCATTTTGAAACTTGTAGCTCTCTTGCTACTGTGTATAACCACCTTGCCCAAGGTGCTCATTTTTATAATCATTGCAGTATACTAAAAGTTACACTGAATTTCTTAATGAGAAATGATGATTTCTTAGTAACTAACAGAATCAACAAGAAAGTAAATTTGTTATGCAAAAACTCATAGGAAATTTTTGAGAATAAATCCTTGTCAGGGATGACCTTATTCAGGAAAAGTGTGATTTCCATCATTTCTTGAGAGGCTGGTGTTTGATCCTCCACAGAAGGAATGACTAGTTGTACAATCAGCAAACTATGTCAATCTGTAAAGTAAAGAAACTGAACAAAAAATTAAAACTTGGAAGAAACTGCCTGTTGTAAATACCATGTGTAGTGCTCATTTTGGTATAATTAATGATTTAGTACATTGTATTTACTGAATATTCCAATAATATTTTTCCTGCTGTTTGTAACACAGCTGCCACCAGTATGAAATGGATAGAGGCTAAAATGAAAGTAAGGAAATTATAAATGAGTAAGTTATATTCTGTGGTTTTACAGTTGTTGAATTCTTCATAACTGTGTATCTTTTTTATCTTAAACTATGTCATGATTATAATAATAATAATAATAATGATGGTAATAACAATGAAAACAATAATTACAATAATGACAATAGTGTTAACTTTATAATTAACATTGATAATAATAATTATAATAGTAATGCTCATAATAATTATTATGATAACTACATAACTATAACAACAACTTACAATGGTTACGATGATTATGATATTAGTTTTACTAATAGTGATGATGAGTATGATGCTAACTTATTAGTTTCATTAAACTTTGTATTTTTCTCCAGGAACTTGGTATTTTTGACAATCCAAATTACAAGATTTCCTTTCTTTTGGACAGTGGAGCAATGATTACTGTTCTGTCAACAAAATATGGGCTTATTGAGGTAAAGTTTTATATTTAAACAACTGAGTGAAATGTGAAGTAGGAAAGGTGGCTCTGTGTCACTAATGCAATCTTTGAATTGCTTAAGACTCATTTTTCTTGTAGACTAAGCCACTTGGTGTTATATGGGGAAAGTTTGAGGAATACACAAGCAAAAACACCATCATGTTTGATGATCTCAGAAGAAACTTCCTCATGAATCCACAAAATGGTTTGAAGGTATAGTTATATTGTGCATGTATTCTGTTAGGGGTACGTTTCAAATTAAGATTATTTTTATCTGAATCATCAATAATTGCACCTGTTTACAGCCTTTATTTTTAATGAATAATTGAAATGAAAACAAACAAACACAACTTGTACATATACAATGTTTAATTCAAGCCATTATTTAGTGTTGCATGTAGATGACATTCTCCATGGCCAAAAAACTAGCAAGATTTTAAAAAGAAACAGATTTTACCTGTGAGATGCATGCTGTTTCCTACAAATGTACTTAATTCACAACTGTGCTGTCATTTTGTTTTAAGATCAGACCTTTTCGAGAAGCCCACAAAAATAGACACAAAGACAGAGAACTGTTAAAATTAACAAAGTACTTGAAGAAGATTGCCAAACTAGATGATCTTAGTGATTTAAACCACAAGCACTGGGAGAGGTATGTATGATAATTAATATGTACAGTACAATAATAATAATAATAATAATAACTCAAGAATGTTTATTCGTTATTCAATTTGTTACAAGATCCCTCTAACATGGGTTTATTAAAGTATACAGTCACACATGTCTTCCCTACATGCTAAGACATGTATACAGATATATACTGTTATACTTAGAACCAGTAGCAAGTGATTTTTGTTTTGTGTAATTATGATGAATTACTCTTTCCAAAAGAATTTACAATCAAAGAGTAATGCTAATTTAAGTTTTTTTTAAAGTGCCAGGTGCAGCAACAAAACCCAATTTTTTTTTTCAAACAAATACATGTTGTGTGTTCAATAAATCAGCTTGAGTAAATTTTTCAAAGGCTAACCAAATTGCATAAGCCTGTAGGGCAAGTGCAATTTGTGGTCTTTGAGTGAGTGCTGATTTATCTCAAATTGCAAAAGAAAAATAATGTGATTACTAGTTAATAATATACAAGCAAAAAGATTACTGTTTTTGCTTTTAGTTGTTTTTATTTCGTGCCATAGCTCACTAGTTCAGCTGCTGGCCTCTGTCTTATTGCCAGAGGTACCAACTATTCCCTCAAAAACTTTCTTCAAACTCTTAACACCTCTCTGAAGAATTATTGATCATTTATATTCTTTATCTTGTTAGGTATCAGTCAATATTAATAAGCATTACATGAAGCTATCATGCTTGTAATCTTCCCCGTCTTTCCTATGAACTGTTGCATAAAACTTGTAGAGAATTGTATCCAGGACCTCTTGTTAATGCTTTTATATCCATTTTTGGAAGCCAGACTTAAAGACAGTTGTTTTCCCTTTGTTGGGTGTTTTTGTTTTTTGCATTCTCCCCCAAACTCTGAATTAATTTAACTCTTTTGTTGTGATTTTGCGACTTACCTGTCAATCAATGTAATTTCAACTTAAACTTCCTGCACTCAATTTCAACTTTCTGCACTCAATTTCATCATTCCTGGATGGGATTGATGCTAGTCCATTGCAAGGTTACCCCCTAGCATTTCATTAGGCTTCCCACCTGACAATTTGGCAATACCCATTTATACTCCTGTGTGGGGAGAAGCACTATGAGTGAAGTGTCTTATCCCAGAACACAACTCAGTGATCTTAAACCTCTCAACTTAAAGTCCAGTACACTGATCACAGGCCACTGTGTCCCCCAGCATGTATAAGGACATTGAGATGATTTAGATGGACCCTTCTAACTTTTAAAGTTACTTGCTTTTGAATTCCTAGATTACTTTCTAACGTTACTGATTAGTTTGTTTGTTTTTTTTTCAGCTACAAGCCATGATGAATAATTTTCAATTTTGATATAAATGAAGACAGTTGATATGAAGACAACTCCAGGAAGTCTAAAACAAGAAAAAAAAATTCTGATTAGCTTAAAGTTTTGTACATAACTTTTACTTTGGATGAAAGTTTTAAAAATGGTGTTGTCTTTGTTCTCAACAAGCTTTGTAATTGTACATCAGCCACCGTAGGTAACTGGTGTTGTAAACTCCTCTGGAGGCTAACATGTAGTTATTTATGCATACCTTTTATAGTCAACCTGATGTTAAATATTGATGGTTGTTGATATTATTCCCATCAGAGTTTATTGGTCCAAATAATTCTCTCCAGAATTTGTCATCAGGTTTTAAAAGTAATTGAGGCCTGGAGTTGAAAGCTCAATTTTGCTTGTTACATACAGGGTGTGTCTGTGGAGCTTTGCTCTCTTCAGAAAATACAATAACTGTCAAATTTATTATTATTATTATTCTATTGTTATTTAATTGTTTTCTTAAAGTAAGCAATTACTCCTAAGCCCTCTGTTTATCATAAGAAATTACACATACATTAATGAGTGAGTGGAAAATATCATCAGGAAAATGTCATTCCCTACTACATACTCTTGGTTACATCCCTGCCTCTCTCTTGGTAACCCAAAAAAGAGGGACCAGTATCAAGTGGTACTAGGGCACCAACAGTAATGTTTTCATCAAGTGCTGTATGTGCACAAACCATCTGTTAAATAATGCAATTAAAAGACTACAAGGCAGTGGCCAAAGATAGGTTCAAGAGAAGTAGCTACACTGATTTGGTTCAGCAATTGCCTGGTGACCACCAAGTTGATATGTTCCAATCAATGTAGCAGAGTGGGAAAGGGTAGTTGCCATCAAATGTTACAGAGAAGAATTCCCACCTCTCACGTCCCCTTGAGAAATTTTTTCTTTTTTATTAATAGCCGACCTCTGTGTGCAAGTGGAGAACTGTACTATCACTTTTCCTTTTCTAATAAAATCCCACTCCTCCCAGTAAGAGGGCTCCCACCCTTCTTAACAAACACTGTGTATATTCAGAGTAATTTGGAAGAGGTGATCTGTTCTTTCAAAAGAAAGGAAATACTAAATATTTCAAGCATTACACAGATGTTTCATTAAAAGCAGGTTATAAGACCTCTTCCCACCTTCTGTTCAACTTTAAAGCTGGCTCTTGTGTTTGGGTTTTACCTTACAGCCCCTTTATGAGCACAGCCTCCTATTACGCCATCGGCATCCATTAAAGGAAAAACTTTGTAAACCTCTGATTATACTTCAGTCTATGCTGAAGGAGTGCTGTTAAACAAATACCTTGTTTTGGTATGCATTGAATAATTGGCTGTAGAGTGGGAAAGAGTTGCAAAGGGGAAGGCATAGTGAGGAGTATGCAAGCAATCATTTGTAGGAAACAGTGCCACATTATTGAACTGCTTGCTTTCCCTGTTAAGGCTTACATTGTTCTGCAAATCCAAAATGGCAGAACGGGCCAAGCATGTTAATATAACTTGTACAAGTCTGTGGAGCTGACCACAGCAAATTATTTAATTTAATAGCACTGTAAGAAAACACCCAACAACACACTCACTTGTCTTCTAGCTTGACTCATTATCTATGGCAGTTACATGTACAAGCACCACAATAGCTATTATCTTGGACAAAGTTTGTTGAACTTCTTTATAATAATTGGGTATAAAGGGTGACAGACTTTCTTCGGAACTCATGTGTCCCTTTAGACAAGTGAAGTGCTTGTTTTACCTCTCCAGAAAACCTCACAAAACAACTGCTAGGTAAGAGGCAGGATTCCCTTGCAACTAAATGGTGCACACAACATTAAAAAATCAAACACAAGTAACTGACACAGAATTATATTTATTATACTATTGCATCTGACTGATTACTATTGATTGAAAAAGTTACCCATCCATGACAGTCAGACAGTCCAAGCTTCCTGCTCTGCTATTAAATTTCACGTATTTGCAGATAAGCTACCGAATGATACTGTTAGGTTTGCTAATTAACAAGGCCATTAGTACAGTAGCTAGCAAAGCCAGTCTTGCAACATACAAAAATAGCATCTCAGTTTCATTTTTCTCTGCAAAAGTTGTTGGTAGTTGTTTCTGTTTTAACTCTGGAACTCTCATGATCTGCAGAGTGATTCTTCCTTATACATGTAGCTTTCTTAAGACTAGTGTTTGGCTATACATCAGCATAACATCCCTTAGCTTAAAAGTCTGTCCTCTCTCAGCACCTATTGGCTGGAGTATGTATTGATAACGTAAGGTAGAGTTACGTAATAAAAACGCCTGAGACGAAGTGGATTATATGGGGTACCACCAGTAAGAAAAATAACAAACATGGAAATCACATTCCTTACCGAGTTAGAACAGAATTGTACTCATAAACTTATCACAAGATCCTGGACCTAACTTAGAATGAGTTAAGACCATTCAATCTCCAGTATTGTGTTCTTAAAAGCTGTCATTGTCTTAAACAGTTTTCAAAGTGTGCAATATTTCATAATGGATGTCATGATTGAACGTTGGTCTCGGATGATTTTTCTCCAAGTTCTATCCGTCGACCCGTAAATCCAGTCTTATAACCTTGATTTCTTTCAAAGATAGTTTGCGGTATTCCTTCCCTGTATTTCAAACTCTGAACCTTTGTTGGATCATCCAGAGAATCAATCTGCCTTAAAGTTCGTTCCTCCATGGTGCTTGGTTTTTCCTTGGACCATTTTTCGCTCGTCCTCACTCGATTTTCCACATAATAGCCAACAGAGCCGACGACCACCGCAACTGGTAAAACAACGTAAGGAGCATACGTTCTTGCTGCGGCTAATATCACAGGCCAAACCATGATAGAAAAGAAGGTAAAGCTTCTCTCAAAATTTGTCGAGGTTCGATCAACCGTGCAATATGGCGGAGAGCGGACGAGTGGAACCTGGGGATGATTAGTTATCAAGCTTTCTCGTTGGTTTTGTCTGTTTCGTGGATGCCTGGCGGAAATCAAGAGAAAGGGATGTAATCAATATGGCCGACGACTTGTTACTTTAACGATGATGTTGAATCGTTAAGGATTTTCACGTTTAAATATGATTAGGAAAGGATTAATGAGTCCTAAAAATATTTTGATACTGAGCTTCGTACTTTCTCTTCTTGGATTTTTATGGTTTACAAATCAATGCCTTCAAGGTACGTGATCTGTTATTAAGAGCCTCTGTTGGTAAGTAGGCCGTCGGCCCAGCCTTTTTTTAACCCTTTTAACCCAGATATCAGTTTGCATATTCTCCATACTATTTCCTATACATTTCTGCAGGTGCTGACTAGGAGAATTTGTTTAACAATCAAGGGCTCCTTTGGCTGTTGATAATTTTCTTTATCATGACCTTAATGCGTGATACAGGGATGATATTGTAAGGAGAAATTAGATGCTAGTCACCCTTAAGGGGTTAAAGGGTTAAGTCTTATTTGGTACTTGCTTGACACACTCCTTGATGGAGAGATGAACTGTGAGAGTAAGGTGGGCTACCCAAGGACATGGTACAATGACCCAGTCAGGGCTCAATCGTAGACCTAAAATGGAAAGTCCTGTTTCAAAACAATAGGCCAGTGTGTCTTCCTCCTACTCTCCCTTAGTTATGTTCCTCAGAAAAGTCTTTGAACATCTAACATGTTGATTCTGGGGGTAGTGAATGGTCACTTGAAACATTCTGGGTTGCAGAATATTCATCAGATCTCAAAATCTTGTAAGCCTTTGTGATAGCTGCTGGTGTCTCACAATTCTTTAAAATTTCTCCAAGGTCATGGCAATCCACCAAATAGTGATTTATCTAGCAAACAGTGTTGTCCACCCTTGGAACAACTAGGGCCAGAATTTGTTCCTGTAGCTCAGGGTCTTAGTCTAAGGCAACCAGAGAAGCTTAGGGTTTTTGATTTGAGGGACAAAAGTCTGTTTGATCACCCATCCCCTAGTCATCAAACCAGTCACTTTGTTAGGTTTAATTTTGAACCAATCAATACTGCTCATGATTGGTACATTTTAGTTAATTCATTTTTCTAACTGTTGTTGTTTTTTTTAACAATGTTTCTTCTAGACTCTGGTAGGTCAAGGGATGATGTGGTAAGGATAAGCCAAATGCTTAAAAAACTGGAAAAGAGAGAGCTCTCATTACAAGAGAGAGAAGAAGAGATCATTAAGAAACTTAAGATCCTAGGGATAAGAAAAATCAACAGTCTGTTTGAAGAAGGCTCTGATGAAATGCCAACTATTTATTTTATCACTCCTACCTATAAAAGACATACACAAAAGGCTGACCTAACAAGACTGTCGCAAACACTGTTACATGTCCCTAAACTTCACTGGATAGTAGTAGAAGATTCTGACAAGAAAACAGATCTTGTTTCACATTTCTTGGAATCCTGTGGTGTTAGTTACACACATTTTGCAGTCAGAACTCCAAAGCAGCTCATAACTAAAGAAGGAGACCCAAGGTGGTTAAAAGCCAGAGGTGTAGAACAGAGGAATTTGGGCCTTAGATGGATAAGACAAAATTTAAAGGATGATATGAAAGGTGTTGTATATTTTGGAGATGATGATAACACTTACGATTTGAGAATATTTGAACAGGTAAGGTACATCTCAAATTAAATTTAGTCAATCATGAACTCTTGGGTGTTTAGTTTGTATATATGTAAATGGTATCACCCCTTTCTTTGGTGGTGCTGCCACAAATGTGCAAGTTGTAAGTAGGGTCATTAGAGGCTGAATCATGACTAATTGGAGATCTCTGCAGGTGGATTAGTCACTGCAAGTCAGAGGACCCCTAGTTAAGTCGATCAACTTGAATATAGAATTAGTTACCTGTAGAGATCCAAACTATATCTTTCTTTCATCCTACCGGTAACTTGTAATTCCTTTTAAAAGAAACTAAAGAGCATTTCAAGAATTGTGACTTTTATTATAATGAATTTATATACTTTCACAAATTTTAATTTTTAGTGTACTCTTTTTTAGAGAGATTTTTAGTGACCATTGAATGTGGTTTGACAGTTCTGTTTTAAATTTTTTAACCACTTCTAGATGCGATACACAAAGAAAATATCAGTTTGGCCTGTAGGCTTAGTGGGTGGTTTAAAGTGGGAAGGACCAATTTGCAAAGATGGATCTGTTGTCAGATTTTACACAATGTGGGAGCCAGGACGCCCAATGCCTGTCGACATGGCAGGGTTTGCTATAAATGTCAAACTGATTATGGATAATCCTGAAGTGGAAATGGACCCGATGGCTAAGAGGGGCTATTTGGAGTCTTCTGTTGTTGGCAGATTGGCAACAAGGGAAGACTTTGAGCCATTGGCTAATGATTGTAAACAGGTACACCAACTTTGTTGGGTTAGATAAAGTTTCAGAACTGGTACAGTGTGCAGGTGTAAATTATCATCAAGTTAGACAACATGTAATTTTTCATGGATGTGTATCAACTGCTTTGATCTTTTACAAATGAATGTCAATTTTTTTTGATGGACTGGACATTGATTGGTTAAGATGTATGTGAGCAATTTTCCTCTGCTCGCACAAGACCATAAATGTCACTCCCACTACCCCTGATTCCTAGCCTGAATTGCCAGTGTTAAAAGGTGGAGGGGGGGGGGGGGGGGGGGGGGGGGGAAGAAGGTAGATTATTTGAGCATGAAGGGCAATATATGAATTAGCACCCAGACCCCAAGCTGGCACTCACATCAATCACCTAACCCCTTGCTGGTATGTGGACCACTCAGGCTACCTGGTTTCCCTCTTTCCCACTTGCACTAAGTTACCATTCCACCTCTTGCTTCCCTTTTTTAATCCCTCCCATTACTACTCCTACCCTCATCCCTCACAAGCACCACCTTCCTTTTGGCTTTTGGTAATGCAACTCTCTTGAACAACTAAGAGTTCAAAATTAGCAGCTATTAAAACAAGCGGAATGTGGTTGAGATTCCGTAGAAGAATGTGGGTGACTGA